CCTACTTTTCCATACCTGAGGTGAGAATGGCTGCTGCAGATCAGGAGTGAGATGGAAGAAATGTAAAAAAAACAAAGTGGGCTGAGGTGGAAAGTTCAGTTCCTATTTGCTGTGCACTGAGGAGAAAGAAAAGGTGGAAGAAAATAAATGCATACTTCTGGGAGTGCTGGGTAACCCTGAAGAAGTAGAGGCCTCAGGAATCTGCTGAGTGCTGTGTATGACCCTTTGGGAGAGGGATGAGGATCTAACTCAGGACACTGTGCCACTGCGTGAGAAAGGTGGACTGGAGCTAATGATTCATGCATCTCATGCAGCCCCCCCTATAGAATCCCCTCAAGTCTTCACATGCAGCACTTTATGATGTCAGAAAGGGGCAGGTGGCACTAGAGGGTCCATAAAGCCCCTGGCACATGTATGGTGTTCTGTGCCGAAGTCCTGTGTCTTGCTGCCTTAGCTCATCCTCTGACTATGATTAACTTCCTGAATTTGTTTCCAAGTTTTTAGTAGGCTTGCCTGATCCTTTGGGTCAGTGGGCTCTCTGCAGGCAATGTTTCCAAGGAACTGTTGGAAGCAGAGTGCTACTGCCACTGGCAAGAGGCAGAAACTGTTGTCAGTACTAGCAGCTTGCATGAAGGTTTCTTCCCTTAGGACAGTACAATGGTACCAGACCCATGTATTACATGAGAGTGCTGGCCTGGTTGTCTCTCTGAACTTGGCTCTTTGCTACTCCCTCAGGCGTAAAATGGAGGCTTTTCTTTCTTGGTTTTGGAGTAAGACTTTCTGGGAGGGAGATGACAAATCCTTTCCACCTCAGGTGAAACACGAGCTGGCTCAGATGTGCTCCACTGTTAGTGTGTCCTGAAGATTTGTGCATCTTATCTCTAGATCACTGAAAAATGTATTAATATTTCTTGTGTTTCTCTTTTGCGTAGCTCTTCTGTTACTCAGAGGCAAAACTGAGTATAGCCAGGTGCTTCCTGATCCCTCATTTGGGAAATCTCTGCTCTTGGTCCTTCTTTCCAGCTCTTGGGCATCATGTTCCATTTGCCGAGTTTTCTTGCTCCTCAAGGTGCAGTGGCCCAGGAAACCTCAGTCTTGTATCAAGAAACAATGCCACTTCCTTAGCTCCTGCCAATGCTCCATCTGCATCTGATGGAAGTGCCTAGAACTTCTCTGTGGTGGTTGGAGAGGGTAGCTAGTTAGAGGCCCCAGGTTTGCTTTGGTGTCCCTGCAGTGCAGCCTCCTTTGTGCAGATCTGTTCCCTCACTGTAAAAAGCAACGTGGTAGTGCAGCTCCCAAGGACAAGCATACTAGAGATTCACCAGATGGGTGGTGGTAGCTGACCAGAGCAGACCAGCGTTGGGAAGCAGCTGATTGTCCTACAGCTCTGGGGGAGTGCTCAGCTCAGTGGATAGTTGCTGACCTCTCCAGTCAGTGATACTCTGCCATTTTAGTGGAATCATGCTGGGCACCTACCAGGACTGCAGCTCATGTGGAAGATTCAGTCTCCAGAAACATCAGTGAAAGCAAACTGGGACTCAGGCTGAGAGTGCTGTAAGTGAGAGCTGAACTCGGGCACTGTGCTGTTGGGACACCTCATTCATGCCAGCTTTCCTAGCACGCCGGCTGTGAAAAACATGTGCCTCTTGGTGAATAGGTGGAGGACAACAGGAGAAATATTCAGGGCCTTAAAGACTACTTAGCATCTGAGTAGAGAATTAGCTTGGAAAGTGACTGATCCCAGAAACAGCGTCTACCTGCTGTTTCCAGGGATGATTTCATGTCCTTGAGAAGAACCTGTTATAGCTATACCAATGGGCTGATGAAACTGAGCGAGACCATTGCAAAGTGGAGAGCCTGATGCCCCTTGAGCAGCACAGTTTAAGTTCATAATGCTGCTATCACATTCCTTGTATAATTTTATACAGCTCTTAGAGAGAAGAAACTACTGATTGTGTGTTCTTTAAGCCTAAACCATAATCCTGAGCCGAAGACTAACCTTGCCAGAGTAGAGCTGGAGACATCTGCCCAACTTCTGTCAGCACCCCAGCATCAGGGTGTAAGGAGCCTGGTGCTATGTATGCAGCTGGTACTTCCAGAGCTCCTTTAGCTGTTAGTGCCAATGGGACTCTACTGCCGTGAAAGAAATAATTTTGTTAAAGCACATGATATCTGATAGTGGATATCTGGATTCCACTGCTGACTCTGTTTCTAATGTTTTGTCTCAGTCTCCATCTGCACTGCAGAAATGGCTGTATCTGGGTTGTAGGGAGGCTTTTGGAGGAGAAAAGAAGCATATTGAGCTGCTATTTGAAGGCACGAGGTTGCGCCTGAAGTCTGTTTTCAGATATTTTTTTAAGAAATAGTCCAGAAAGAGCTGCTGTCCAGATTGAAGGTAATAGTGGAAGGAGGGTCCCAAATTCTGTTTAAGTGACTGATGCTTCTTTGTCTGCAATAATGGCTGATGTCATCCTTCTGTGTTTGCCCAGGCTTAACCCATCTTCTGCAGAGCACCTGAAAATATAGGAATCATGAAGGGCTCTGCACTTGGCAAAACTTGTGCTGACTGAGGAGCTTTGTAGGTTTTTGCTTCTCCCATGATGCTTTCTCCCAGCTGCACAAGGCTATCTAGAAAGGATGTGCAGCTAATTTCCCTCCCTAGGAAAAAGCTAGGCTGATAGATGTTCAAAGCACCTTGACTTCCTCGCTGGAGGATGGAAAAGATCCTGTCATCTGCTTCTGCTCATATGTCATATCCTGTTGCTCTGGAGTCAGAAGTGAGTCAAATTTTCTCCTTAAAGGAGTCTTGTCCTGTGGAAATTGCTCAGAAATACTACCGTTTGTGTTTGAATGCAGGCCTCACGCTTGGCACCACAATTACTGTTTGCCAGAGGCAGACTGTGACAGCACAGCTTGGTCCTGAAGCATCCAGTGTTAAGGAGGTTCAACTTTGCAAAGGTTGGCCCACTTAGTGCATAGCATTGGGGTGCCCTGCCATCATGAGCAGTCCTGTTCATCTCAGTGATGCTGCTGCAATTCTGCCTTTACACTTGGACCTCTGCACCTTGGTCTGTTTTTATTGTTTACTGGGTGAGACCGCATACTCAACAGGACGTTGTCAGGCTTAGAATTCTTATGTAGCAAATTTTATTTTCCCGCAATGTGACCTGTAAATTTTAAACCCTGAAAAGATTAATAAACCTCTCTTGTATAATGCAAGAAAGATCATGTCGCCTGTATTTGGTCATCTGGCTTGACTAGAATATACTTTCTGACAGAGCAGCGTCCTCTCAAAGTTATGAAAAGATACAACACTGCTTTCTCTCATTTAATTTTTTAAATGACTAAAGTTCCCATTGAGCAAGGAAAAATATGCCATATTTTCTGTTTGAATTTGTCTGGCTTTTAATTTATTGCCATAGGAATGTTTTTATGACCTTTTCCTGCTGGGTTGAAGGGCCCTTAGTATTCTTTCTTATGCTGCGAGCCTCCAACAGTTTGGAGGTAGGGATTGTAATCTTTTCTTGCAGATGTACAACTTCGCATTCAGGTCTGTTAAGGAACAGTTTGAATATGATTCACCTACAAAGAAGCAGCAATTACTTGTGTGATTGCTGCTTATTCATCATAATATATCACTCTGTGTCAACTGCAAATTGTAGCTGATCTGGAGCTTTCTTAAGGACCAAGTAGCAAACTGTGGAATGATTTCTCACACAAATGCAGAACTATCTGCAGAGTTTCCTTTTCCTAAGTGTGGCGCAATCGTCTGGTTTGCTTTCTCAAATAGAAAGAGCAGAAAGCAACAGAGGAGTGTTTTTAACAGAGAGAGAGAAGATACTGTGTTTAAACAAAACACTCCACTGTGAATCTGATTTTCACTTTTGAAATAGGAAAACACAGTGTATATAGCAGATATTGGTCTGGCTGCTTAGGACGAGGATTATACAAAAAATTTAGGCATTAAAATAACTCCTGTAGAAATTAATGGGGCTTAAGCATTTGCATGCCTTTAAAAACTGGTCCCTATCTGCAAGCTCAGTAGTATTTTCTGACTGTGTCAATAGAGGAGAAAGATAACTCCTAGAATAGTTTTGAGACTTTGTGGTGGAAGACAATCACCAGCTTGGATCTGGGAACTGAAACGAGGCAAGATTGGGATAGGTTGCCATTTCTGGAAGGTACGCTTTAGCTAAAAAAGCACTATGCTCAGTTCAGGAGCAACAAGCTAAATTTACGATGAAGATAACATAGATTACTTGGAATAAATCCTGAAGTCAAGTCTCCTACCACCACTAGCAACCAGATACTATACTCTATTTCGTAAGTCAGTCAAACTTCTTATTAAATATAGATTGTTTCCTCCTGTTACTTGACAAGTGTGCACACACTCAGGTTTCTCCTACTGGGAGAAACCAAAAACTTCTCCATATTTCTACTTCTTGAATGATTAGAAAATTTACTTTCAAGCTGAACTTGCATTTGTTAATTAATTGTTTTCATTATATTTTATCTTGAAAAATCTCTTTCCTGCTGTCTGACCCTTTGTCTGCTTGTCCTTGGTATATTTGTATGGACATCAGTCACAACTCCTAGCCTTCATTTGGCTAGATAAAAGAAACCAAATTCTTCTAATGTTCTCTCGTAAGATAGATTTCTATTCCCAGTCTTTCTCACTGCCTTTTCGTTCACCTGTTCTACTTGAATTCAGGTTTGTTGACTGTGGATAACATGACAGAGTTTATTAAGACTTTAGTTCACTAAATTCCATAGTTTTTCTTCCACTTCAAATGTGGTAGTTTCTGTTCGTGGATGGGAATTC